GCCAGGAAAGATTGAGTGACATTGCTAGGTGTCAAAGAACGTCGATGCTCGGAATAGTTGTGTGTATGAGGCGATGATGCGATTCTATGGCATGTGTAATGACGGTCTGATGCAATTCTTGGTCCTTGTTGACAAGAGGTTTGAGACATGGCGAGGGCCATGGTTATACGGCCATAGGTTGCCAAGCGGCAGGCAGGCTTTCCTCTACTGACACGATTTATTTGCTACGTTGGCACATGTTGTTCGAGCACTCGTAGCCTAGCCAGTTGGTGTAGCAAGTAGCTCGAGCAACAATTGTTGCAGAAGCAACAGGGTATAGTATTGATCATATGTTGCTTCCTCTTGGCAACGTACTTCATCTTTTTGGACTTGACCCACACAGGCCGGGCCCATAGTCGTTCTGACTGTGTACATGCGACCACGATCAGAAGTGCGAGAGTGACTGGTGTGAAAGTTAGCTATGGATGCTTTGGAGTAGCTCTTGATTACACGCTGCCCCTCGCACTGTCGTACACCATCCCGACCCCACATTTTGGTTTGCAAACCAACCGCTACAGCCACTACCAGAGGTTTGCGGGGGCCCTTCACAGCAACTTTCGGCTCTTCAAACATTGAGAATGTTTGCGAGAGAGGAAGTGACTTACAGGAGTCCGCGAAAAGGCCTTCACCTTCTTCAACTCTCTGATCTCTTTCCGCACAGACACATAAGCCGTTTTTGCTTATACAGTGTATATTAAACCCTGGCTTACAGACATACATGCCAAACACAATACACGTCATTCGACGACCGACCCACACACTTGGGCGCGCTCTCCATCTCCAATAACAGAGGTTAGGTAATCCAGAACCGGCTTTCCAATCCACTTAGAATCCCTGCTGGTGATGACACCGAAGCCAATGTTTGCTCCAAACCATGGATGGAGCACCCCTGTCAACTTAAGGTTTTTCTGGGCTAAGTACTCCCGTACTAAGCCAGACTGTGTTAGTGGCAACATGTCAAACGTCCGTGCGGAAAGAGAGAAGTGTGTTGAATATGAGATGAATCCCTTTTCGCTGACCCCTGTATGATCAAAACTGTATGAGATATGCCTCACACGAGTCAAAATAGACGCTCCGGCCGATATGACCGTCCTCAATTGTGGAGCCATGGCTGCCGTATTCTGACATGCACATCAGCATCCCAGATGTGACGCTCAAAGGCGATCATCTCCACTCTGTCGAGATGGGGGCAGAAGATGAACTGGCCCAGAGCCCTTTCTGGCCTCCATCGGCAGCAAAAGACGGCACGGCCCCTGCATGGTACCACCAGGGATGATAACGACCCACACCTGAAAGTCAAAAGCGAATCTGGATTCACGGAGGCAACAACAGTGGAAACATCAGAGCAGCTTTTCGCCGTTTCCAACAGGGCTTGAGGTTATAGACCGGCGCCACAAAGCGTCAGCCAGCCTGATGCAAGCCAAATCTGCTGCTTTACAGTGGTCGAAGGGATAGTCGGGTGTAAAGGCAGCCGTGATGCAGGTTCCTTGAGGAGGCCGCCAGGAAAAAACCTTGCCTCAGCTTTCGGCTCTCCGAGCCAAGCGTGCCCCGCTCTTCACCAGACCTTGTCATTCAAATACGGCGCATGTCGCAGTGCCGCTTCCATCCGAAGAAGCATTTATCAACTAGACCCACGGATACTATGTGACATTGATAGGCGCCGAAAATCACCCTTTGTTACGCGTCTTGACTCAGTTGCACGTACTCAACTCCCGGAGCCATGCCCTGCGTCTGGCAAACACACGCATCCATGTCCTCGCATGTCGCTTGAGAACCTCCCGTGCCGTACAGACCCGTCTCCGATTCTCGTCTTGCCTTCGCTCGGTCAGCGACGGGACCCACAGGGCCCAGCAGCAGTTTCTGGCCGAGGAGCGGGCCCGGGCCCCGCAGCAGTACCTGGCCCGCGTCCAGGTGGAGGTGGTCGATGATGTCCATGCCGGCCTGCCCCAGCTCGTCCAGTTCTTT